ATGCATGCTCACCGTCGCCTGTAAGGCACAAATGCCACGCTTGGTCGTTTGAATGGAAATAAAGCAATTAAGTTATCAGGGCCAAGGCGCTGCTGCCTCCGGTGTGTTGCGGTTCACGTCGATCTTTGGCAAAGGGCGTCCTTCACAAGTACTGTCCATATTTGTGGCGGCGGCTGATAGCCAGCCGTGTCGGGCCTTGCCATTTCGGACAGGCTGGCGCAGCGACCCAGGTCCTGTAGTTGAGAATTTCACCAATCGTAGAGAATGTTATTCGCGATTGATTGAAAGGAGTCCAACGTTTCCTCGTCGAGCATGGCCGGCGAGCGGTTGGGGACCTCAAGCTTCAAAGATGCCGCCGTGCAGCACGTCTCGCAAGCTGCGTTTTATGGCCAGCACGAGAAGGAGTGGAATCGCTCCACTGAGCACACCGCGGTCTCCACCATTTTCACCGGTCACATCTATATATAATTTGTTGTAATCTAGAATCCCAGCCTCGGGCGACGTCGCCAGAATTCCCCGTCGCGGTAGGGGGGGGGGGGGAGGGATGTCGCCGCCCCGTTGCCCGTGGCGTCGGTGGGAGAACTGAGAGCCGTGAAGGCGCTGTTGACGGCCCCGCCGACCCCACCATACCCCCTTGCGAGAATCCTGCCGACACTGCGAACGGCCAGTCATCCTCCCAACCCCTTGTGACGACGTTGCCGGGGTCCGTGCAGCCGTCGCCGGCGACGTCGCTGGAGGTTGGGTTTTTTCTCTTGTTTTAAAACATATGTTAACATATTCTTATGAATATTATACATTGAATATGTATTTGAATACATTATATTATATGCTAATATATATTCAATGTATTAACATAACAGATAAATCATCAAAACATTTTTATAATTTTCCGATGCATGTGACAAATGTAAGCAATGGAACTCACACCAACATTTAGTCATCGCTGGAACGGACACCACTTCCAGTCTGCTTGGATGCATCTTCGTCGCCAGGCTTGGTTTTTACATTTATGTTTACGTTTTGACTTTTATGTTTTTACGCGTGAAAACGTAAATTTGCAAAAGGGGCCTATTTTTACGGCCATTTTTACTTTTTTACGGCTCCCTGGGACACCAGTGTTACACGAGGAAAATTGCGTACAATGATCAGTCCTGCGCCATCTCCGGCATCCGCAACACCCCACAGAATAGAATAGTCCCTCTGTCTTTTCTGCTAAGATGCTGCTTCTTCCGCTGACTAGGCCCGCGCCGGTCAGTGGGTCAGTGGTTTAGGGTCTAGGGTGTTCAAGGCAAGTAGGGATCTTCACGGAAAAGACAGAGCGAGTGATTTCATTCCGCCCTTCCCATCCCGCCCGCCCACGTGGAGTGTGACTCCCGCGTGCCCGACACACCCCAAAAGTACTGCTGGCTGACACACCCAAGGTACAAGTGTGAGTGCCCGCGGGCCTGACTTGTACGCGCCTGCACCCACAGTTCCCGCGCGTGTTCGCGTGATCTAGTGCCGGGGCGGGAGCGCAGGCATCCCCCCGCTCGAGGCCGACCGCCCCACCGACCGCCCCGCTGCGCCCCGTGGCCCACCGAGCTCCGATTGAGCCCCCGAGAATCTGTTTGGGACTCCTGTGCCCTTCTCTGTGGACCGTGCAAGACCGAGATCGCGAGAGGTGAGGGTTCTTTTGGGTGGATGCATGTCTCGAGAGGTGAGAGACGGGGGGTGGGGGGAGGGGGGGGCGGCTCTGGGATATAGGATGTGGCGGATTGCGCGCCTTTGCCGTGCCTTTTGCCGTTCCGCATGCCTGGGGCTTTGCATGAGTGGGGCGGCGGGGAGGACGTTGGGCTTGACCGCTGCTGTCGAATGAGGGCCGGTTGGCGAAATGGGTGAAGGGGGTAAGGGGTTCGCGGAAGCGGGGGAGGGTGGGGAGTGGCAGCGTACCGGGCGCTGACGCTGTTTGATGGGCTTTGCGCCAGTCGGAAAGCGCGGCTTCGTGAGGGCTGCGTTCGGGCATGGGGATGCGGAGGTGCCGCGATGGGCTGCCCGGGCTGTGGCTGCTGCTGGCGGTGACGGCGGCATTGGTGGCGTCGGCGGCCTCGAGGTAGGAGGGGCGGGGGCGGCGGGCAGGGCGAATCGCTGGGATGGCGGTAGGGGTGGGTGTGGGGGCGGGCGAGGGCTTGCGATCGGATCAATGACTTCGATTTCGCGAGGGTTGGGCGAGCGCGGACTATTTCGAGATGTTATTATCTCGGAGCAATCACTCATTGGCTGAGGACTCGTTGCCGCCGGAGGTGCGCGCGAGTGGCGCTCGTGCGCTGCTGGGATGGCAATTGTATAGGCCCCAATTGTTTGCCCGGGGCCTTAGTAGTTGAGCGGGAGCGGCAAGTGCGGCGAGCCGGCACCGCCTGAGCTGCCGTGGAGCCGGTGTGACCGACTCGAGGGCTTGGTCGAACCAGGGATGGCTGCGGGGGGTTGGGGCCACGCCGTGCTTTGTCCCTGCTGCTTCCCCCTGCCAACAAGTCTTAGCAAGCTGTAAGTCTTTAGGGTTGTGTCCGAGATGCATTGCTTGCAGGTGCTTGGGGGTCAAGTGCTGTGGCCGCTCTTGACTGAGCCACAGGCCTGACCTTCCCGACTGGGGCTCCTGCTGACCCGCGCGTGTCTGCCGCCCGCAGCCGGTCAGTGAGGTTGGCATCCTCCGTGGCGGACGTCTCGAATTCGATCTTTGTTTTTGAGCACCGAGGTGAGGATGGGCTGGGGTGGGGGCAAGGGAGGGGTGTAAGATTTGTTACAAATTCAAGAAATAATGTGATACAAAAAGAGCACCGCCTTTAAAAGGGAGGGGGGAGGGGGGAAAGTAAGATTTGTGTTGAAAAGTACAAGAAACAGGTCAGCGAGCAAAAGTGTGGGGTTGGGGGGCGGTCCTTGCGTAACGTGGACGCACACAATTCGTCTTTCCAAGACGATGCGGAGCCCTTGCAGCACCTTCAGGCCATGGAGGGCACCTGCACGTCCAGAGAGCCTGGGCTTGACTGAGTCGTTGCAAGAAATGTGGCGGTGAACATTTATGGCCATGGAAGCGGGGAGGAGATGTTTCAGGCAATGCAGCAGGATTGTGAGCGGCGCAAACGCTGTTGGTCTCGCTATGTCGGCAAGGCTAGGAGAGACGCTGCAGAGCGCGGAGAGCCCTTTGGCAAGCATTGGGGGCGAGTGGGATGTCAGGAAGTGAGGTGTGGGGCGAGCCGCTGCATAGGGCGGAGAGCTCTTTGGCAGGCATTGGGGGCGGGTGGGGCTCTCAAGGAAGTGAGGGGTGGGGTGTGGAGTGAGCAAAGATGGCGACGGAATTGAAGCAGCTGTACAGTGCTGGGCACAATTGACTAAAAACGCAGCCAGCACAAAAGCTCAAAAGGACAAACCTGTGCAGACGCAGTGGGTAATGATTGTGTTGAGCGAGGTAGCAAAATAGTAGTCATCGTCATTGCTGTAGTGACATGGCCCACCACTAGCCCCACCCATGCCCAGTACTGCTCACCAGCAACACCATGAGATGACAATGGGGTTCTTGCTGCATTGTGCAATGCCAGAAATTGAGAACACCAAATTCTGCAAGGCTGGAATCTCTCAACAGTCCCAACGATGCACAGATTCCTGGCTGGCGGGGAACACAATTCTGCTGTGAGTGCAAATCCCTGTAACATGATGGGGAAATCGGCGTTGGGATTGAATGACTCGCTCCATGACAAAGCACCACTTGCCATAAAATGGGCATCCCCCTCCTCAGCCTGCAAGGTTTCTAAGAGCGGAAGATGGTGCAAGCATGTTCGAGCTCAATGGGGAAGCACACAGCACAAGCAGCATGCAGAACGTGTTGACGAGTGTGGCCAAATGTGGATTCAAATAACTGTCTGTTGTTGCAACGCAGACGCTGCCTCCCTCCGGACACTGAAACAGACAGGTGCTTCCTCGACGGCGGGAAAGTTCTGCTTCGCAAGTGTTGCACCTAATGATGGCAACGAGGTTTGTGGCCCCAGACCTGCCAGATATCACCTCAATTGTTGTCGCTGTTGCATGCTTCTGCCGTCTAACTGAATGTGCCCATCCTCAGGTGTATTGCCCTGCCAACACTTTTTTCCACGTAGGGCAATAATCGCATCTGTACATGTGCAGCCAGTCCGAGGCCCCACAGGTCGCTGCCCAAGAAACAATCAAACGGAAGCAAAGTGTTGTGTGAGGCATGGGAAGTTGTTTCTGCTATGCAGAAACAATCGTTTTGAAGTTCCAGTCCAGTGGAACTTTATCCCTGTACTACTTGTCGTCTTTGTTCAGTGTCATATATATGTCCTCGTGCAGCAAACAGCACGTTTTTATAGCTCCATTTGTGCACAGCATAACTCGTGCCGATTCCAGAAAAGCCAATCCGTGCAGCCACCACTGCGACTGGGGCAGTTTTGTTTTGCCATGCAAGTGGGTTGAGTCAGTACCCCTGTAGCCTGGTGTTCCATGTGACAGCCCTGATCTACAGAGGAGACTGACGACTTGGGTGCTCCAGCTCCGGCGCGGGCCCTTTCCAAATAGTGTGCACAGCACCTTTGTGGAAATGGCACAGCATTGGCGCCTGGCTGCAACGAGGAGCCTACAGAAGCCAAGCCAACGGAAGGAATTCTTTGCAACAGTCCAGGAAGCGCATGTTTCTGCTGCTATCTGTAGAGTTGTTGTGTGTTTGCCAAGCATTGTGAGGTCCTTGCAGAACTGCTGGAAATTTGTTGGTGTCTGATGATCTGGGCACAGGGCAAACGCGCCCTATGACTGCCGTATTTTATCAAGCCCTTCCATCATAGAATATACCGATATGCTTTCTGCTCCGCAATTTTGTTTTTTTTTTCAAAATGTTATTTTATTTTCAACGTCGCTCCACAGAAAAAGGCCAAGCTTTACGTTACTATGTGGAAGGGTTTGATAAAATTCGGTACTGCGTCACACTCTGTGCTGGTTGCTTGTGGTGGAGCTGTGTTTAAATGAAGCTGATGTGTTTGATCCAGGGTGAAGATCCTCACCGGTTGGCACTGAGGGAAAACACGGTGAGGGGCGTGCGACTGAGAGTGAGGATTGTTGCAAGCACGACTTCAAACGATAGAAGGAAGGCATGAAACTAGAAAAATTTTCAGAAAGAGGTGTCTGCTGCCAGCAATGCACTAAACAACGCATTTTCGCCCTTAGCACCCCATCAGAAAATGCATTGTGCACACCTGCAAGGATGTCATTGTAACAATGACATTAAATGAATCGAAGCATACAGGCAAAAGGAAAATAAAAGCGAGTAACTGCACGCATCTTTTTCCAAACCGCTGACGACGACAATGATAATTGCAGCGTCAACCTCTTTGCTTGGCCTTCACGGACGTGGAAACGACCCTGCGAATCTTTTGCGAGTCTCCGCGTCGGGTGCCGCCCTGGCCGAACCCCGCCCCGCGCGTCAAGGCGCAAGGCCACCGCTTTGTTTTCCACCAGCAATTTCAACAAAGGATTTCATCGGCATTTCAACTATCGAACGCAATTTTAGCAGGTGATTTCAGCAGTCCGCGTTTTGTCCTTCTTCCAGGCCCTCTGGCAGGCGGCCAAGGACGGCGACCTGCCCGCCGTAGAGGCCGCCCTGGACGCCGGCGCCTGCCTCGACGTCCACGTCGGCAAGTTCGGCACCACGCCGCTGCAGGAGGCCGCCGGCGCCGGCCACGAGCACATCGTCCGCTTCCTGCTCCAGCGCGGCGCGGACGTCAACGCGCAATCATCGCAAGGATCGACGGCCCTGTTCCGCGCTGCAATCTTCAGACACGGCGGCGTGGTGAGGATCCTGGCTGCCGAAGGGGCCGACCTAGAAGTACGGCGAGGATTTGATGGAGCCACGGCTCTGGTTGCCGCTGCTGCCTTTGTTGGCAATGCGGAGATCGTGGGCGTTCTGATCGACGTAGGGGCGGACGTGGACGCGGCCAACGACGCGGGGAGCACGGCGCTATTCCTGGCTGCTCAACACGGTGATGAGGAAACGGTGGCCGTGCTTATCAACGGCGGAGCCGACGTGGACAAGGCGCGGTCCAACGGCGCCACCCCACTGGTGATCGCGGCACAGGAGGGCACTCCCGGCGTCATCCGCCTGCTGCTGGACGCCGGGGCCGACCCCACGATCGCCAACAACTTCCGCACCACGCCGCTCCACCTTACTGGCTTCCGGCTGGGCGGGGTGGGCGAGGAGATGGCAGGCATGCTGCTGGCCAGCGCGTTCAACGTGGATATAGATGCAATGGACGAGGACGGCCGCACGCCGCTTATGTGGGCGGCTAGGTTCGGCAACGCCGGCGTGGCGCGGTTCCTGCTGGAGGAGGGCGCGGACGGATCGGCAGTGGACGGCGCCGGGAGGAGTGCGGCAGCGCTGGTGTGCACCTGCGTGGAGAACGAGGGGGACATGGCGAAGCTGCAGTGCCCGTCGTCTGGCTGCGAGCTGCCAGCCACCGCGAGCGAGGTCCTTGAGGCCCTGCGACAATAGGTTCCGGCGACCCGGTCGAAAGCGGGGTCGCTGATGTGGGCAGGGGGGAAGGGAACCGTGAAACGTTGTCGCTTGTGCTCATCCAAATGTAAAAATTCGAATGTGAAAATCGCTTTTAGTTTGTTCTGTTTCGCTTTCTTTGGCTGCGGTGTGACAGGCAGGTGGAGGGTCAGGCGTGTGTGTGTGTGCGTGCATTTGCATTTGGGGCAGGCGGGCGAGTTTGTTGTCATTCCTGTACTTTAGCAAATAATACAAGAAGTGCAAGACCTTGCAGATTCTGCTTGAAGAGCGTGTTCCTTTGGGGCGGAGTGGGAAGGGGCGACGCTGGCTGTTGGCTGTGGCTTTTGTGCCTGAAGCCCTGGTGCCTTCAGTTTTGGGCACCGCATCAACGTGGGCGCAGGGAGTTCACAGGAGGAACGCCCGCACAGGATCTCAAGAGGGGTGGGCTCTTGTCCAAGAGGGCGGCCATCCCATCCGCACTCAAATCAACAGTTTTTTTTTTTTGCAAAAGGAGATTGTGTTACTTCACCAGTTCAGCGTGGGCGGATGGCGCGTCGCTCGGCTTTGCAGGAAGTGATGCAGAATGCTGTGGCTCACTCGTGGCTTGACCTTCCGAGCCTGGACAGTCCGAGGGCTTCTGGTGGCGTTTGCGGTGTCGCTCGCCACAATGAAAAGGGCGCTTTAATTCCGCTGCGCCGCAATTCGTTGCTCCAACGCATTTCGACAGGTGCGCTATTGGGACCGCCCAGTCTTTTTTATCTTGAAATATTTGTCTATCAACACATTGCACATACAGATGCGCAGGAGCAAACAGATTAATTTCCGAGCCTGTGCAGCCCGCGTGCATCCCGTGGCGTTGGCGGTGTCGCTCATCACAAAGAAAAGGGCTTTTCGATTCCGCTGCACTGCATTTTGACAGACTCGCTTCCGCAATCGCCCTCGTTATTTGTTGAACGGTCGGGTCGCCAATACAGTCCCCCTTGCATGAACATTTATCTGCGCATATACTGCGCATGCGGTTGGTGCAAGAGCGAGCAGATATAGCCAAGCTAATAGAGACGGCCGGTCCAAAGCGCCAAATGTCTTTCTCGTGGTGAAGGCACGCACTGGTGAAGAATTGCACCGAAAACATTCAATCGCTTAGTGTCGTCACACACACGGACGGACACGGACCACCGGCCCCAAGATGATTCAACAGTCAAATTTGTGCGAACGGACAGTCTGTGATTTGCAAATGAGCAAGGAGAAGTCCAAAAAGAAAGAAAACTTCTGAATATATTCCACAGAATTACTGCAGCTCACATTGCTCCAAGTCCCATCGAAATGCACGAAAAATGCACGCAAGTCTAATCCTCGATGGGTTTGCTTTAGGAAAACGCTTTTGGCCACAGCTTTTGCGTCCGAAGTGGGCACGGAGGCGAGAAGAACGAACAAGGCCTGCTTGTGGGGATTGCTGTTTGTGGGAATCGCTGTTCCCGTGTTGGATACTGTCCGATTCAGCGCAACTAAGGAAACTTCTGCTTTTAAGAATTCCGAATTGGCGGCCTTCACGGCCATTTCCCCCAAACAAGTCTTTCATAATTCGGGGAGGAAACGGCACGTCGCTCATGGGAAAAAGAAAAAGTGCTGGCCTCTTAGCTAATGGATCTATGGGTAACAGGTCAAGGCAACAGGCCTATAGCAACGGCTTATAGGTTGCTGACAGGTTCACCGCTGCAGGAGCTGTCCGGTGGTGACTGTCTGGTATTGAGCTGGAGGCCACGGAGTTGCGCGGACTGAATGGCAGGCCTGGCCGTGAAGGGACATGGCTGTTTGGGATCTGTCTATGCCATGACCATGACATGATAATTTGTACAGAACAAGCAGTTGAGGTAGCCTTCAGCTTTCTATTTTGCCCAAGCAAAGCAGTACCTGCGATCAATTCATTAAAATCTAACGTAAACACAGACAAAGTCTGTGAATCTATTAATTGCTAATGCCAAGAAACGATTGCCGATGATAATATATCAAAAGAAGTGATGCCACAACGCCAGCCCAAGGTTCCTAAACTGTGCAAAAGTAGGTCGGTATTTTCCGAATGCCCCCATGGTAGACTCGAGCAAATGCTGTCCCAGCGAAGCGCTGTGCCTAGTTCGCGTGGTTTGAGGTGCGCGTGAGCGTCGAGTTATGGCTTCCGAGGCCGAGCGCCGCCGCGGCAAGTCGGCGGACGCCTCTCCCTCTCAACAGTCGCCGCAGGCGCGCGGACCGCAGCCCAGTCCGCAGAGGTGCGATCAGCAGCGGCTCCGGATGGAAATCCATCGGGGCGCCCGCGCCGCCGAGACTCTGTGCGTCCGTGCGGCATCGTCGCATCTCGTTTCGCGTGACCGGGAGAGGGTGGAAAGGGATCGCGGCTGTGAGGGCATGCGCCACGTTTGCTTGGCATTTTGCGCCGACTCGTTTGCTATGTTTGTGAGCTGGTCTTGCAGTGCCGACTCTTTTGTTTCCCTTGTTCGCGCGAACGCCCTGTGTGGGTCTTGGCCTCGCGACGCGATGAGCTCGCGGCGAGCACATCCTGCCGTCGCCAGGCTGCGCCTGCCCTGGTTCCGACAGGCGTGGTCGAGGGGATATGAACCAATGTTGTTTGAATGAGTATGATGGGCATGGGCTCAGCAGATTGTGGGAATGGGGCCGAGATTGTTTGAGTCTGTGCCGGGCGGGTGCGCTTCTGCTCGCAGAACTGATCGGACGGAAAGTTTGGAGGAGCCTGCGATTGAATGTCGTTGGATGGAAGTCCATGCTTGACTTCAGCTGGTTATATATGTGGAGCGGGAGAACATGCGGGACCCTGCCCTTGGCATATGAGGTCGTACGGTTTATTTCGAACATGGTATTCTGGTTCTGGATCTCACGTTTCTTCCAGGATTCAGACTTGCTGCGACCACACTTTCGCAGGGGTTGGGGTGTTGAGACATGGGATGCTTTGCAACCTAGATCTGTGGTGTTTCTCCAAGATCCAGACGCCTGGCAAGACGACACTTCAGGAGGGGGTGGATTTGGATACAATATGAGTCCTAGGCAGCTGCAGAGGGGCACAGTGGCTGGCTCAGGACTGGCACATTGTCCCACATGGGTTGGAGGCTGTGGAACACCTTGGTGGACCTACAGAACCCACTGAAGCGCAGCAAGCCTTAGGTTGTGCTGGATTTTCTCATGCAGCAAACAAAAGCCCCACATCCCCACCATTGTGTAGGTAGTGGTATCCAAAAGAAAGCCACTGGAAAGAAAAGGCGCAGGTGAAGACTGGGAAGCAGAGTTTTGAAAGAGGAATTGTCAAAAGTGGGTATCCTGGATTATTTCGGGAATGTTGACGCCTCCCCCCATCACACAGATTCCCCTAATACGCCAAACCTATGGCTTCATGCCCGGCGATATCGAGCTTGTGGCGTCACGTGACCCAAGATGCTTTTGGAGTAATATGTGACGGCTGGATGTTGGTTGGACTGCAGTGGCTTAATGGGCAGCAAAAGCATGGTTGGCCAGGCATGCGAATTGGTTTCTGTTGCAATGGCATGGCACACTATGTAGACTTGTCTTCCACTGCTTAGTAACAGTTTGAGCAGGCACAATTTGGGTGAAGCTAGCATTTTTTGGACAGAAATGCGAGCTGTGGGCTTTTGAGTGGTTCTACCCCAATATGGACATCTGATGTGGTATTCAGTGCCTACATACCTTTGGGTGAACAGGCTTTGGCACTATTGTGACATGCATGTAATTAACAGAATTACACCACAATATGGACAGTGGCCGCACTTGACGCAGAGTGTTTGCATGTCTCAACCCCAAGATGGACAGTAGCTGCACTTCACACTCAGTGTCCCTCCAAAATGCTTGCTGATGAGGCTATTCCCACTGTCATTTCAGCTGGAAAGATCGCTTGTCATTGTTGATGTGCTGTTGCGCATTCTCAGGTTGCCACCACCAGCGAGACCATTCAAGTGGGTCTACCTGTGGATCGGTGCCGCCTTTGTGATTACGTACAGCGCGATGTACTTGAAGATCGAGCGTTCCTCCCAGACTGACGAT